ATGCTAAGTATAAAAAAATATGATAGCTGAAATAAAGAATCTAATAGATGGAATCAATAATAGAATTGATAATGCCGGGGGCTAATTAGACATTTGGGTAATCAGAAGACAATAAGAAAAGAATCCTTTCTTTTATACAAAATATAAAGGAAGAGCTAAGAGATATGGAGGATGTAAGTAAAAGTAACAGTATACAGATAACCAAAGTGCCAAAATAAAATAAATGAATAGACGGGAAAGTCATTATGAAAATCTTGATAAACTTCTCAGAATTAACAAATATTAAAATAATTTAGATTTAAAAAACTCACAGCACACCTAAATGCATTCTAATGATATCTAAGAATACCAAAGATAAAGAAATTATTCAAAATGCTTCCAAAAATGAGAAAAAAAATAACTTTCACAGGAAAAAGAATCAAATTTATATCATCTTATTTGGCAGCAACTTGGACGCAAGAAGTGTTAAGAATTTTTTTCAAAGTATAGTAACTTAGATTCTTATTTTTTTATTCAGTGGTATTGTCACTTAAATATGAGGATGTAATAAAAAATATTCTCCAACATATGGGCCTCACAAGATTTTTTTCATATTAATCTCACTGAAAGAAATTACTAAAGAAAGTATGCAAATAAAGGTAAAGGATACAGTAAGAAATATAAAAATGAAAGGTGCTCAAATAGTTTATCTATGTGGGAAATTTTTTAAAAAGTGAGAGATTAATATCCATAAAATTCAGAACTAAAATTTTAGACAAATCAATATAATGGAGTGGGATGGGTAAAGAAACAGTTTCTTCCAGGTAGATAAGACATGCCAAGATACTTTCATTATTAGATTTAGACATGGTTGTTGATGAGCTTAAGAAATATAAAGAAAATAAACATGGGAATGAATCTTAAGTTAGGAATAACCACTTTTTTTAAAAAAAGAAAAGAGTATATAACTTTTAAAGCAGAAGGGTAAAACTTAATAGATCTAATGGAAAGCAAGAAAGAATTTTTTAAAAATGAAAGTATAATAAATTGAAAATATGAACTCTTTCAACGAAAAAACATCCAGCCTAAGAGAAAGCTTATAAGAGTTTATTGGAGCCAAACTGATGACAATTTCCAGGAAGCAAAGTCTCAACTGACTGAGAAAATGCTCCGGAAAATGGCCATTGTGCAACTTACTTTACATATTAGAATCAAAGGAGGAAGGTTACATGAAATCCATTGGTTGTAGATTAAGGGGGTGGGAGAAAGCAAAGAGGGGAAATCTCTGGGATTGGATAAGAAGTAAAATGGAGAGACACACACTTTTTTTTACATTGGTGGGTATAGGATAGTTAATAGCATTTTACAGCACATAGAGATAGTATTTGGAAAACAAGATAACAGTGAGGGACTTTGTAGTTTCCTGCTCTGGTGTGGTGGGTCGTGCCCCCTGGGAGGTCTGTAAAAAGATTACTCTGATATTGTAAGGGTATGTTATCTTAGATGCAAAAAGACGACAGACAGGCTTAAAGTAAAGACTGACCTTTGTCAAGGAAGCTACAGGCCAAGGATGTGACTTCCCGCCATGGCCCACCTTAGTTAGGAATTTTTATGTTCATGCCATCCTATGTGGTTATTTACAGTCTCCTGAGCTTGTCAGGTTGAACATGTCCCCCCTTTTCCGTCCACAAATCATATGGCAGAAATATATTTTGTTTGCCTTAATAATTACAAAAACTAACTAAGGTCCAAAACTGACAAGACGCTCATACTTAGAAAGTACAAGGTGCAAGGTAGCCACCAATCTTAATTCTTTCCAAACTTTCAACTTGGTTTTCATAGAAACAATAATTCTGCTTAACATTATTGTTTGTCGGTTCACATACTATTTAATTAAATTACTTTTAATAAAAATTGCAGCTGACATAAACATGTTTGGGAATAAACACGGCCCCCTCTTGGGAAGCACACACTCATGGGTGACAGCAGCAGGGAGAGGGCGCTCTGCAGAGCGACCCACTACCGGAAGTTCCGTGAACCTTGGGTTCAGAAGTTGGGTTTTACAGAGACTAGAACGTCAGTTAATCCCACGACTCATTTAAGTGGAAGTCATTTACTATCGCTTCAATTATATGTAAAAAAATTCTTAGATTTCTAAAAGCTTGTGCTGGTTCCCAAAACTTCCTCTTACAGATTTCGACTTGTTTTTAATTTTCTTCAAGAGTGTTGACTCCCAGTATGATCACGTTAGACTCTGGACCCGATGGTCAGTGTCAATTGCATGGCTTTCATAGAGCATAACAGCCCACAGAAACATCTGATGATGCATGTAAAGTGTTTTCCTGCAATAAGACAGGCACTTAAAGCCAACGATTAATTTATTCACTTCATATCACTCCTGTCCTATGAGCTATGCTCCCTAGGAATGTGCATGGCAAATTACAATTATACAAAGAAAAGAAAAAAAAAAAGCATTGCCTAAGAATAATTTTCCTTCCTTAGAAGGGAGCATTTTTAACAATGTCACAAAAAAACAGGTGATTACTTTGGTTTAAAAGTATGCACAAGTCTCATTTGGGAGTTATGCATGGAATAAGAATGCTTTGTGGAAATATTGGCTGACTCAATGCTTTTTCATTCCCTATCAACAAGTTGTCTCTTGACAAATGTCACTTTGGTGGTCTCTCATGTACTCTCCTGTTGTTACTGCCAATGGGAAACCTTCTACAGTTTCTATGTAGTTTGAAATTTCCAGTAGTTTCCTGGTACATATCATTTATCAAACTAACGTTGATTTCTTTCTATTCTTATCTTGGTAGGGGTTGGGGGTCTCTCTTAAGATAGTCATGTAGTTTTGTCTCTTTTAATCTGGAAACATAAAATGTTGCATTAATAGATTTCCTATGTTGAGCTGTTCTTGCACGATGTATTCCTTGTTTTAAAAGCTGCTAGATTTTACTGGCATATGTTTATTTAAGATTTTTACATCTATGGCCATGAGAGAGATGTATCTATAGCTTTTTGATACTCTCCTTGTTCCGTTAATAGTGTCAGAATTATGCTAGTCTTGAAAAATGAGTTGAAACATGTTCCCTATTTTTCTATGCTCTGAAAGAGTTTAAATAACACAGAAGTGACATGTTTCTTGAAGCTTGATGGACTGTGCCAGGAAATCACTTCAAACTTTTCTATAAAGATAGACCTCTAATAATTACTTCAACTTCTTTTATGGTTATTGTCCTTTTCAGGTTTTATACATCTTCCGGAGTCCGTTTTGTTACTTGACTTTTTTCTAGACAGTCAATTTCGTCTAGATTCCAAAATCAATGATATAAAAGTAATAAGTATATTCTCTTATTTTGTAATCGTTTTGTATCTGCTTATTTTCCCTTTGTTGATTTATGTGATTTGTGTTGTTTAATTTTAAATATCTAAATATTTATCTATTTTATTGACCTTTTTAAAGAAAACAGTTTTTTATTTAATTGAAGGTTGTGTTTTTTGATTAATTCTATAGTTTTATATTCCATTAATTTCTGCTTTATTAATCCCCTTCATTTACTTTTTATAAGTTTATTTGGTTTTATATTTTAATTGAATGTTTAATTATTTTATTTTCATTCTTTCTTGATTTCTAAAAAATGCAATTAAAATAATACATAGTCATCTGAGTACTGATTTACTGTCATATTTTAATGTGGTAATTTCATTTTCATATATTTCTAAATGGTCTATAATTCTAATATGATTTGTTCTTAAACCCCAGTTTTACTTAGAAGAGTGTCTTATTAATTTCTAAGTGAACACAATAGTTGGCTATATTTTTTCTCCATGTCTAGTTTTATGGCATAATACACTAGTTTCCCCTTATCCACGGGAGATACGTTCCAAGACCCCTAGTGGATGCCGCAACCTCAGACAGTACCAAACCTTGTATATTACTATATATTTTTGGTATACATACATACCTAAGATAAAGTTTAATCTATAAACTTGCACAGTAAGAGATGAACAACATTAGTAATAAAATAGAATAATTATAACAATATACTATAATAAAAGTTATGTGAATATGGGCTATCTGAAAATATAATTTACCAATTTCTGAGACAGCATTAAGGCAACTCACCATCACTGTATTTTGGGATTTCTCTTTTTATTTCCAACAGTTTGGGCATTATCTATTTTGATGCATTTTGACAGATTTCTTCTGACTCAGAGCCTTTGCACTGTGTATGCTGTTTACTCCGATTTATCCTGTCATAGTAATCTGTTCTTAATTTGGATAAAATCGTCTTTTCAATTTCCCCAAAGTTTCTTGGTATGATTTTTTTTGTTGTTTTCTCCTTTTTTAGGCACTACTTCCATTTTGTCCCACACCAGTTCTATTTCTTTATTGTGTCGGGTTTTTTTATATGCTGTTCTCGAATAATTGTCCATTCAGATTTATGACTAAGGTGATTCGTGTGGATGGCTGTTACGGATTTTCTCTGCTTTGGGAAAGTCTGTTTCACCAACTTTTATAAGAGAAGGAAGACCTTAGCCTTTGCATAAATGGGCAGGTATGCTAATCGGCAGGCTTTTCTTCGGTGCCGGAAGGAGGAACAGGAAATCCCCAATTACCAAAATGAAAAAGCCTTTCTGTGGCGAGTGTAGTGTTTCATAGCGTACTATGTCACTCCTGACTATAATCGTGTTTCCTTCTATCACTCTCTGCATCATCCTGGGTTTCTAAAGTTAACTCAAGCTCTGTTCCACACTTCTCCTGAGTCTCTCCAATATGGGGATCCTAGGACCTCCCCAGATGCTACATGATATTAATCATCACGATGAAAATCACTTTTATGGAGCGCTTTCTCTAGAACATATGTTCGGGGCTTTATTTCGATGATCTCCCTTTAGTCTCCAAACTGCTCTATAAAACTGGTACTTTTATTGCTCATGTTTTATAAATAACAAGGCTAAGGCTAAGGGTGATAGTGAAACTGGTGAAGATTAAATCCCTGCCCAAGGTTACATACCTGGTCAAGGCTGTGGAGGCTGACAGGTCCATACTGCCTCTCTCTCATGTGCAGCCACTTTCCTCAAATGTTGTGGGTGCTATGGAATCGTCTTTAATCCTTGATCAGTCCATGAAGCTTGGAGGAAAATTCCAGAACAAAAAACCTGGATGAGACAAAGGAATGGATTAGAGGAAGGTGTGCCTTGTGTGCGGAGGCACGGAATGCCTAGATCTGAGAAGGCAGACTTCTCCTAATGGCTTACCCAGGCCACACTTTGGAGATTTAAGGGTCTGGGAGAGCTCAGTTTCAGGCTGTTGTTGGTTATGATTTATAGCCAGGATTCAACCCTGCTCATAGCAGTCATGTGCCATTCTATTCAGACGCTACTGCTCTAACGTTTGCCCCTTGTCATTCCAACTCCAGTTTAATAGGAAACACAAGCCACCCTTGAGATGGCAGACCTATCTTCCAGCCATCGGCTGGCGGTTGGACGTTCAGCTCAGCCCCGCAGAACCTCAGCTTTCTATTTTTAGAGTTTGACCCCGCTGAAGTCACGCTGGGCTAGCTTTGTGTGAGGCCTCCTGCCAGACTGGGCTTGCCACACAAACCAGCCAAAGAGGCAACACAGCAGGCCAATTAGCCAGCAGCTGTCTGTCAACTGAATAAACGAGGTGAGTGGGAGCAAGGGGCTGTCTTTGCCACAGACAGTAAGCAGAACACAAGGATTAACTTTTCTGGTCTTGGAGCTCTTTGGGGAACCTGCCATTTATTCTATCTGCATGGTCAGACTCCTTGATTTTATGAGGGGAGCTTGACCAAACTACCTTTGGCAAAGCAAAGGGATCTCACCTCAATTGCCGTGGAGAAAATCTGTTTTCCGGGTTAGCACAAGATAAAGCCAACACGAACCTGCTATCAAAACACCGGTTGTGACAAATAATTTTTATCAAGCAGTGCCTAAAAATTGGATGATAATATAGCACAGAATGCTTTAAGAGCACAAATTCTACTGTCTGGGCTGATATCTCAGCTCCCTTCTTCTCGCTCTGTGGTTTTGGACAAATTGCCTGACCTCTCGGATCTGTTTCCAAATTGCTAAGTGGGAATTAGAGTTCCCACATAAGGGACCTGCTTCGAGGATTACAACAGCAGGTAATCTATGTAAGGTGCTTAGAACAATGCCTGGCATAGGGGAAGAGTTTAATGGATGTTGACTATTGTTACTAAATATTCTGAATTTTAACTGACTTGCAGAAGCAAAAGGCGAGTATTACCATCAGAGTTTTTAACAAAGGAGCAAACTGACAAAGAGGGAATCACAGCCTCGCGTCCACACTTTGTGTTGAAATGAACCAGAATTCAATCCTCAGCTGTTTGATTCTAAAGTCTTGGAATGGTTCGTGAGCGTCACTGAAATTGACTCCTTGTAGAACAGCTTTTACTGACTTGTTCTTTGGCATTATGCCAACTACCCACAAGAAAGGCTGTTAGGAGACAGACTCATTACATCTGTGATTGGAGCTAGTGAAGGGATCATGATAGGATAGGACCGTTGTCTGCCACATCACACAGCAGTTTCTGCATTCATGGGAGAAATTCCTTGGGAATCAGTTTTCAATAAAACTGGCCTCCTTCTGAACAAGTGGTTTGTTTTATTTTTCTTATGGAGAACTGTGACTAATCATGATCCTTCTTTGTTTTGGCTGCTAAGAAGCTTAGAGCCAAATTTGTTGCTTTCCTCTAGTGCTTTCATGTACTAATCTTATTCCAGATTTATGATATTTCTTTTCTTGTTTCTCCTTTACTCTCGTCCCCTTGATAATATATTTTATCCCACTGAACAGTGTATAGCTTGATACACGTCTACAGTGCCTTTTTGGAATAAAACAAGCAGATGTATTTTAAAAATCTAAAAATATAGCTCGATACAGGTTTATCTCTTTCCTTGGGTTTGGGCTTTGGTGGTCCTGTTGGAGCAGATGCTGTGTTTTCCCAGGGTTGGATCAGCCCCACTGGGACACATGCCACAATTATTCAGAGCGCTTTGATATCTAGTATGTCAGTACCAGGCAAAGGCTGATTTGAACTATAGAAATTTATGAGAAGATGACATAGCCAACCATATGCTAATTGATTTCATACACAAATGATGGACTGCTAGGGGCAGATAAAATCAGGGGTAAGGGGACCGGAAATGTAAGCAGTTACATCAACTTTTGTACAACCTCCTCAGAAAGCCCTCTCTGTTCATTCAAGGGTGACTCAGTTTCCTCTTCACTGTGCTATCTGCTGTTGTTGTATTTTTACACTGCAATGTAATAAGGATTATTCCTATTTTATTACTTTCTTAATGCTCAGAATAGTGCCGTAGTGCTGAGTAGGTAGATAGGTAGTTAGGTAATACAGACTCAATACATATTTCTCGAAGGAATGAATCAAGGGTGCAGAGGAAAGATACTCAATAGAATAGGGCAGATGGAAGACCTGGAGGATTTCTGGGGAAGTAACACATACGTTGTGTCTATTAACTAACTCTTTCACTGCGTTACCTGATTTCAAGGTTTCTTTTTTCAAAATATGTCAGAAATCCACAAAAACCCAAAAGGTGATATTTTGACTATTTTATGCATTTAAAAATAACAATTTGAGCTGCTTTGTATATAAACAACATTATTTTTATGCATAAACGTTTCCTATTGTTATTCACTCTTGAAAAACACAAAAACATAGAAACATGTACATCTGCTCTCCTAAGCATCCTTTCTGGAAGTTCCCAGCCGCACTCAGTGGATGAAAATATTCATTCGAGTATATCTGACCGCAGTGGCAAAATTAAATAAGAATGTGTAAGTCAGACACAGAAGAAGAGGAAGAAAATTCAAAGCAAGGGAAACTGTATGCAAAGTCACAAAGCTATAGAAACCATGACATGCTTGGGGAATTGCAAATATTTCAATATGTCTCCAGTCTGGGCTAAGAAGAGAGGAGCTTGGAATGTGAATTTTATCTTCAGCCCCATAGAGAGTCATTGATGAATTTTTGGTCGGGGAAGGGGCAGGCTACGAGATGATCACGTATGCGTTTTTAGAGAGATTACTTTGACTCCAGTGAGGACTGTGGATTGATGGCAGACATTTAGGAGGCCATTACATCAATCCAGGAGAGAAATGGTGAAGGTTTTAATTAATTAGGTAGTGGGAGTTGTGATGGAAAGGAGGGGGTACCCTGGAGAGGTTTTTAGGTGGCAGAATCAACAATCAGTGATCAATTGCATGGGGAGGATGTGGGAGCGAGAGGCGTCTGTAACGGGTCCCACGTTTCTGTGTTGGTTAACAGGATGGATGTTGGTGTCATTTTCCCAAACAAAAAATAAAAGAAGATGAGGGAGGGTGATTAAGTCAACCTTGGACACTGCGCTTGTGATGCCATGGGTACAGCTAAAGAAAGCAGGCCTTTCTATACAAGGATTTGGAGCGCCAAAGATTGATTTGGCTAGACACTACATGATTTGGGAGGCACCCGTGGATGGCTGGTAGCTGAAGGCATGAGCACAACTTTTTTTCCAGTTCGATTGGGAGACAGTAAGGGACAAAACACTCTGAGATGGTGACCTTTGGGAGATGAGCAGAAACAGAGGATTCAATGAAGAAGGCGAAGAAAGATGGCTAGAACTGGAGGGGAAATGAGAGCTCTCAAGTCAGGGGAGGAAAAAATATATCAAGAAATCGGGAGAGTCTTGCATTTCCAGCAATTTGACAGACAAGCTATCCTAAGCAACCCTTCTTTTGAAAACAACTGGTGGATACAATTTAAACATTTTCAAATGAATTGCTGAACTGGTAAGTAAGTAAGGAATCCTCAGGGGCAAAAAAGTCATCATAAAAGCATGGATTTAGAGAGGCAAGTTGGCGAAGAGGCCCACTTTCTCAGAGAAGTAACTGTTGAACTCCAGAGACCTTGAGCTTTCATTTTAATAGCCATGAAGTATACACAAAGTAGGAGACAATAAGGTGAAGGGTCTATAGGAGATGCTGTAAAAATGTGAGGATTCTAATATTAAAGTGAAAAATCAATCAATCAATCAATCAATCAGTCAATCCAGCAGAGGAGTAGAACCAAGAATCTTGCCTACTTGGACCAGCTTCTCTTCAGTAAAAAGCAGGAAAAAAAATTTCACCCTACCATAAATGTGTCTCTTCAAAATTTGGTACCACAAACTAGACTTCCAATGGTTTGAAGATAAAATCATAGTTACGTATAAAAAAAAATACTAAAACACAAAATAAATGTTACACGAAAACAATCAAAAATAGCAGAGATCTGAGTCATGTCAACAAAGACTACAGGTTCTAGAATTAAGTAAGCAAAGAACAAGAAAAATATATTTTTTATATAAAAGAAATAAAAGAGGGATTTGAAAATAGAATAAAAAGTCAAAAATATTAAATGCAAGTTATGGAAGGAAGCAAGTAGGAGACCGAAAGAGAGGCAATATCTGAAGATACTATGGATAAAACTTTACAGAATAATCTTTAACTTTAGGCAACCTACAAATTTCAGGCAGGATGTGTTTCAAGACACCATAGTGATATGCAACATACCAAAGACAAGGAGAGCATCCTAAAAGTAGACAGAGAGAAAAGATCACCCATAAAGGAGGAGTGAGCCCAACATCTGATTTCTCAGCAAAAACAAACAATAAAATAATATACTCAATGTGTTGAGAAAACAAAGCAATCAATCTCGGGCCCTTCCTTTCTTTCAAGGATGAGGACAAAATACAAAATTTTCAGATAAGCAAAATAAGAGTTTGCCATCAACAAGACTCTACTTAAGAAAATTCTAAAGTATGTACTTAACAAAAGGAAAAGGAAGTGGTTCCAGATGGAAAGCATGGGATATGAAAAGAAACAATGTACAAAGACTCTGACAATTATGTATGTGGGTAAACATACATAATTGATTCTTTAAAAGCAACACTAATATCTAGTTATAGGTTTAAAAGAAGATCAAACTGAAATAAAGGACCTAACAATGCATATAAATTTGAAGGGACTGATTGGAGTGTTTCTGAGGTCCTTTATTACCTAATGAAGCAATAATATTACCTCACAGTTTGTTAAGTACATGTGTTAAATACCTAGAGAACCTCTAAAACACTTTAAAATTTTTATTTTATCTTTTCTAATTGTTTGTACTTTCACAGGACACTAAATTATTTCTAGAGCAATACAAATAGACAATACATACAAGTGTATAAACCAATAAATATTCTTTAAAACTAAGGAACTGGCCCATAGAGTCAAATGTCCTTGACACAGCTTTTGGCGCTGAT